AAGGTGGACATGGGTGTGGGAGTGGCACTTCAGTTGAATTTGGTGAGGAAACTCCCGGGTGCACGGAGGGCGGAAGAGGGGGCCGTGCCCAAGCGAAAGAGCGGATCGGGGAAGTGGGGCGGGCAGCAGATTACAGTGTATTAGGGGGTCTGGCAGGCGGGCCCAGAGTTCGAAGCCAGCACACGCACTCCCTGAATGGCATTGTTACCAAGTGTGCATCGCTCTGCCGCGGCCCAACCCCTCGCCCTACTCCGTCAACCCCCACCCCCTCCAAAGACACGCGCACACACGCGCGCACGCGCGTGCACATGTGCACACACAGACACACAGAAACAGACACACGCACACACGCAACACAACCATCAAAGTTTCCAGTGCCTGTCGTCGCTTCGCCCCACCTTGCCCTGCACCGGGGACACATCCACAGAGTCGCCGGGCGCCAGCGTCACCAGCTTCTCGGCAGTTTCCCCTGCAGCCTTGATCAGGAACTCCAGGACGCCTGGGCAGCGGGCAATTCCATTTCCGATTTGTCACAAACTAGTTGTGCTACGATTATGTCAGGGTGTAATTCATTGCGATGCGTTTCTAGGAGGGCTTTTAGGGGCTGTAATAACAGCTGTGGGGCAGCTGTGTGGTGGGGTGGCCTGACACCACTTTGGCGTAAGGGCTTTGACAAACCCCCCCCCTGGAGAGCCGGTGGAGAGGCCAGGTGCCCCAGTAGCGCCGCTGCACGCGCACGCGGGATGACGTGTGACGCCAGCGTCCACATTCAGGGTACGCGCGGCTCCACAGTGTCAACGGGAAGGCAAGCCAAGGACATGAAGGCGTGCGCCGGCTGGGAGGTGGCCGCTTGGGGCTGCGCTTGCCTTGGTTGTTGGGCTCAGGGGGCGACGCGATGGCGAAGAAGCCCGGCTTGGAGTCACCCACCTGCAGATGCAGTGTGGTTAAGACATGGACAGGTTGGCTGGGCACGCGACAGACTTGATTGCACCAGGGGCAACACACCTTCCGGCCAGCTGCAAAAGCAGGCGGGCCGCGGCCAGGTGTGAACGCAGGCAGCCCTGACCACGGACGCGGCCTTTGCCGCCGGCCGCCGGCGCCGCTGAGGGCGAGGCGCGCGGGCTGGTACATTGCAGACTAATGCAGCAGACCGGGCTGCCAAGATGCAATGAATGAGGGGGACGGGCGGGTCACCTTGATCTGCACGTACTGGCCGCCCTGGGTGTAACCGGCCGCGATCTCGGGCCCGACGTCAATGGTGACGGTGAACAGCTGTGTGGCTGCCTGGGACACGCCGAGGACCTGCGGTTGTGCACGTCCGAGGTTGGCGGGCGCGTGGGGCCGTCGGTGCGGAGGGCGGTAGGGGGGAGGCCAGCGGTCGCCTTGTGGGGCGACTACAGCAGGGGCTGGGGGTGCGCCGCATTAATCGCGGCATGTGGGAATCAGGTTAAGGCGTGTGGTCTGTTGGCGCATAGGTTGAGGCCCCAACTGGTGTTGCTGAGTCGGACGGGCATGGGTTTGGCCCGCGGCCGCGCCCGGCAGCGAAGCAGCAGCTGCTGGTGCGGTTGAGGTGTGGTTGAGCTGCCCTCACCTTGGCCGGGGTGAAGGTGACGGGGTCGCCCCAACCGGCGCTCACACGCACGGTGCTGCGGCGGCCGCTGGAGACGCGGGCGCCGGCCGCCTGCGTGAGCGAAGCCTTGGGGGCTGCCGACGCCGCCGCGGCGAACGGCGCTGCGCCACGCGGCAGGGCGGCACCATGGTGCGGAGCGGCGGCAGCGCGGAAAGCCGCAGGCTCTGCGTTGCGGGCGCCACGCCCATTGGCTGCCAGCAAGCGGGCTGAGCGTGCGAGCTGCATTTCTTGGCTGAAAGGAAACTGAGTGGCTCGCGCGCGAGTGTTCGTGGTTGGGCTGCGACCTGGTCCTTGAAAGCGAGAGCAGTCTTACAAAGCTGAGACTGAATATGCAAAATAATTAGATCGATTGGCAAGATCAAATACCGGTCGCTGAGCCACCTAGTCAGATCAGATTTTTCCATTGCCGTTCTCCAGACTCCTCAGTCCTCGGCGCAGATCCCACATTCCTATAGTGAATTTTATGACTCTAATGGGTCACACAACTGTTCATGGCGTATAGCTGGCTCATGGCTGGCCAGGGCGCACAGCCAAAGTGTTGACCAGGAAGACCAACGATGCAAGGCACAAGCCCCTTGCAGGCATAGCAAGAAACACATTGTTACCAAACGGCTGCCGACACCATGCCCTGTGCGGCGGGTACGCCTCTCCATCCCATCGTCGTCCGCGAAAGGAGCCTTTGAGGCGGCGGGGTCTGGTTGCGGGCAGCGTTGCAGTTCAACCAAGGCCTGAATGTCCGCCAACTGCTGCGCCGCTCGCCACAAGGAGTGAAGCGGCACACCCCAGGTTCAGATGGGGGGAAGCATTATATGCCACGAACAGTGGGTGTCCTGGCAGCAGCACCACGGGGCCAACAGGCAGTGAGGTCAGGAAGCACAGGTTTGCCCCATGAAGTTGGCCAGGTGTTGACTGCAGAGCTTGGGGCCCGCATGGCAACAGTAATGCTCTGATAGGGCACGAGTCGGGGGTGTAATTAGATATTGAGTGTATATATATGCCAGCATATGCAGCAAAGTCAAGGTGTATGTGAGTGAAACAAGGGTGCAGTATGTGACATCGCTCGTTGACGTGCGTCACCGAGCTTCCCCGCATGGTCTTCCTGGCGACGCCGCAGACGTCCGTCAACTGTAAGATGCCATCAGGTAGCTGCATCATTAACAATCACAATAAAACCGCCTCCGTGTATTCAAATTGGGATGCTGTAGCTTCCAGGCCCTTTTCCTCAACGGGGGGAGAGCTTTTCCAACTCACCTGGGCCACGGGCGTGATTGACTCAAAATTTATCAATACGCTTGTTTCTATAGGCTGAGCGGGTCCTTGACATCCTGCTCTGCTTAGGGGATGGCAATGTTGTTCTTCCTTTGGCCGCTCAGCGGATTGTGGATGGAGCAGGGCCTCACGTGAAATCGTGGCATCGCCAATCACTCAGTTTGGAAGGGCGCCCAGCCCGCCCGCGCGGCGAGGCGCCCGCAAGGACACAGTCACTGCAGCCCGCCGCCCACCGGGCGCCATTGGACCAATGCTGATTGCACCGCGGGCCGCGGGGCCCCTCGACGCAGAGCAACAGCTGGACAGCAGCGGCGCCCTGCGCCAGGCCGCGGCCGTCGACGCCTTCCTCGCCGCCGGGGCCGGCGCGTTTTGGGCCGCCGCGGCGGCCGCGCAGCAGTGGCAGCCCTGGCTGGGGCGCGACGCCGCAGGCCTGCCCCTGGGCGACCTCCGGGTTGCCTACGCAGCTGACATGCAGCTGCCGGCCTGGCGAGAGTTCGCCGACGCGCGGCCGGGCCCGGGCGGCCGCGGGTCGGGCGGCGCCGCCAGCACCGCGGGGGTGGCTCAGCCGAGCACCGGGAAGCGTGTCTCTGGCGAAGAGCGTGACTCGGCGGGCGACCGGACCTCCGCGCACACGGTGAGCTGCCGTGCCCCGCCGCAGTTCGGAGGGAGGCCGCCGCAGATGCGACGTGGCGACGGCGGCATCGCGCCGAGCACAACCGGCCTCGCTGCTGTGAGTGCCAGGCTGCGAGCTGGAGCGCCGCGCACCCGGCCTGGCGCAGGGCTGACACTGCCCACTGTACATACGCACTGATCACGTTTCATGCACTCGTTTTGCACACACGCAGCCAGAGAGCTCCTCCACCCCGCCGGCCCCGTCCACCGCCGCGGCTCACGGCCCCTGCTCAACGCTCGACGCTGCTGGTCCGGCCCGCACCAGCACCAGCACGCCCCGCCCCAAGGCCGCGTCGCAGCAGGAGGGCAACTCATCGCCGGCCGCGGCCCCGCCGGCGGTGCCAGGGGAACGATCGTCGCCGGGCGAGGCGCGGGGTGCCTTTCGGCGGCGCGGCGCGGTTCTGCGGGAGGACCTGCGGGGGCCGCTGCGGCTGGGGGCCGAGGACGGCCTCAGCGGCGGTGAGCCGCTTCAGCAGCAGCGGCGGCGGCAGCAGCAGCAGGTGTTGCCGCACGGCTGTGTGTTGGGCGGAGCCGTCGCGGCTCAGCGCGCAGCGGCCCGCAAAGCGGCCGGCGACTGGGGCAGCGCCCAGCCCCAGGCGCCCGCCGCCGCCGCCGCCGCCGCCGCCCCGGCTCGCGGCCGCCCGTGGGGCGGAGCGAAGCGCGCCCACGGGGCGGCCGGCAGTGCGGCGTGCGGGGGCGCGGCGTGGTGGCTGCTGCTGGGTCTTGCGGCCTGTGTGGCGCTCCAGCCTCTCCTGCTGACGCAACTGGTGGGCCCGACTTCCCTGTCCTGATTGCCGCCCCGCATTTTAAAGGCCACATCAAAGTCTTTTGACGGTTGCAGCGAACTCAGTTGCCTGCTGTGCGGGACCCCTGCGGCGTCCCCGCTGCGCCCCGTGCGGCCGTGCCTGTCGTCCTTTGTCCGCGCCCCAGCCCCGCTCCTTCCCAATGCAGCCAGGCT